AGAAGATCCTTTTCTGACTTAGCCCCCTCTTATTACGGTCGTCGACGAACGCCTTCCAAGTGAACGCCATTCACATATACTCTTATGTGGGTAGTGACCGTGCAGTGCCGCCGCGTTGGAAATTCAGAAAAGCCGCTGCCCATTTGCGCCATAAGCAATGCGATTTAGCGATCTCAAAAGATGGTTCATCTGCCCGTGTTAATAGTGGCTGGGCCAGCAGCTCCCTTGAGTCTTCCACATTTTTTGCAGCACTGCTGAGTGTAGAGATGTCGTATTCATACGGGTACCATTTTTTCTTCAAATGAAGGGTTCTGTTGATACACAGTTTCACACCTACCTGCTTGTCTTGCAGCAACCAGGTCTGGTTTTGTATGATCTGTATAAAGTTGTACCATCATCCAGTTATTAGAAATTGAAAAGTAGCTTCACCCTCTGTGCCGCCGTCACTATTCTGTCTAGGTATTGAAGCCACATTTCAGTGTACCAGAAAATAGCTCCCATTCCTGTATCAACTTTATCTTTCCATCTTATATTATTGCTTTCTAAGGTCTTGTCTGGCTAACTGTGTCCCATTCAACATGGGAAGGGCTGCGAGTCCTCGGTCGATTCTCCTGTAGGGTGGTTCACTGGAAATGCAATGTGGATTTTGCCTTCTTCTTTTTCAGGTGTCGGCACGCCGATGCTGTCAGTTCACCACTCAAGCTCCTCCTCCGATGTCGGCGCCGATTGTCGCCGCAATCAGCCTGGAGCCGGAAGGGGGTATGTCTGTCCGGCAATGGCTGGAGCCGGAGCCGGGGAGGTGGGAGCCAAGAAGCCCAAAGCCATGGAGGATGGATCTGAGCGGGCCACCATTTACTACTCCCCCAGCCCCTTCCATAAATCAGGTTTGCAGGCTTTGGTGTCTTCTTCTTGCCCTCACCTCACCTCATTGCTGCTGCCTCGTTTTGACCGGCTGGTCCCAAAACCGCGGCAGCATTGAACTGCTAGTGGTGATGTAGGGCGTGTGTGTATCATATCATATGCGCGGCGCCCCCACATGTAAAACTCAATCCGGCCTTGTGTGTGTGTGTGTGTGTGTGTGTCCTTTTGTCCCCATTAATGGCGCTGTGGTCGCCTCAGCTGCTGTTGCAAGCCGGACAGGGGCATCCATCAGCTATGCGTGCATGCATGTTCCTCATGCTAGGCGCCTGTCTAGCCTAGGCTAAATTTTCTTTTCGTTTCCCTGCATGGTAGTACTATGCCGCTGGTAGGGGCATGCCCTACCCCCATAGAATGTGATAGGAGAGACCAGACCAAGACCAGGAGTAATACTGTTATTTTTCCTAATTGTCATGTCCCTTTCCTAAACTTAATTGCTTCATTGGCCCCTTCCAAAGACTTACTCCTACTTCAAAATCTGCCCCCCATATAGACGCCGAACCGTTTGGCGTCTCTGTCTACCACACGTGCGGGCGCCAGCGCCAAATAACAGTATGTGTATCAGAAACGCCAAACAGATCGGCGTCTATACGGGGGCAGATTTCGAAATAAGTTTTCGGAAGGACCGGTGAAGCGATTAAGTTTGGGAAGGGGCCATTGAGGAGAAGTAATACCTAGGCTTTGCTTTTGGTTTGCTCCGGCAAGAGTATGCAGGTACTACACGACTACTCATCAGATATTCAAATGTGATAGGTTAGGATGGTCATGGTAGCAGCAGTAATAGCAACCGTACAAGCTTGAATGCCCCTGCATCCCCTGTCGCTTGCCCTCTCCAGCTCTCATGTTCATCTTCCCCTCCCCTACCCTACCCAGGGGATGGGGTGGATTGGCATAGCACAGCAGCAATTTTTTATGCTCCAAGTCTGCATGAGAGATCTTTGTAGCTGCTGCTCCAGGCATCTACTAGACCTGTGCGTGCGTGCGTGCGTGTGTGTGTGTGTGTGTGTGTTGGTGCAAGGGCCGGGGTACGGGCCAGGTGAGGCGAGGTCAAAGGCGAGGGAGGGGGTCTGGGTCTGGGTCTCTTGTGCAGATTGGCCTCTGCTGTGCAACGGCAAGTATCCGTTCCTGTCTACTACTGGTACAGTAGTAGTACGTGATACACTACAATAATGTGGCGTCTGTGCTTGCGTATTGTACGCACGGATTATACTTGGCCCTGCTCGACGAATGTTTGGAGATCTACAACTACAATGTTCAGAGCAAGATCGACTTATATGTTTGGTCGTTTGAATCGCGGCATTTTAAGAAGCTGCCCGGGGCGGGGGCGGGGGGATCTCATCTCGCTTTGCCGCGGCACGATCGGATCCCACGGGGTTTGACAAGCCGGGATATTCTCGTCTTGTTTGTTTGATCTTCTTTGTGTTCTTCTTGAAACCGTGCGAAATCAAAGAGGCATTATTCCATTGTGCGCGCGCTCGAGATTTTGAGGATCTTCTTGATCGAGCGTGTGTTTTGTTATACCATCCGGCTCGTTTCGACATTGAAATGTTACTTGAAACGGTTTTCGGTAGACAGTGTTGCACTACTATATGCTATGCTGGACTTGCTATGTGCTCGTGCCTGGCCGTTCATCCCGTCATCAAACATTGGGTCACCTATGATAATATCCAACAGTACATTTTCCTTGTGTGTTGATAGAAGATAAAATCAACCCGATTAGATCTCTGGTGTTTTCTGTATGTGGCATCGACCATATCTGTGCTGTACAAGCAGCCGTTCCTGCGTAGCGCAGCAGTACGTGATAAAATAAGTGGCCTCTGTACTTGTGTATTGTACACACACAGATTATTATTGTTATTGGCCCTGATGGATGCTTTGAAGGCTGCCTGCGGCTGGATCATATCCTGATTCAACAAGTTATGACGCTCTAATCTTGTTTGTTCTCTCTTCTTTGCGTTTTTAAAACCGTGCGAATCGAGGACGCTTTCATCGTCGCACGCATGTTGCTTGAAATGTTTATCAGTAGATCTTGCGCACTGTATGTTGAACTTCCTGTATGTGATCTTTTTCTCATAGTATATATATTTAGTGGGTTCATAAAAGATAAAATCAATCCAAGTAAATCTCAACCGTATTTAGCCACCATAGTGTCCAAACATGAAGTCATATGCACGGTACAGATCGGTTGTCTCGAGTGCGTGTGAAGGTTTTTTTTACACACAAATGGGACTATGTCATGTGACACATGTGGTAAGCAATCTAAACTATTGATTTTTTTTTTTTGAGAAAGTGTTGTTTACGGCACACGAGAATATTGGTGTATGTCCAATGTGCCAACCAATCGAGAAAGGGTGTCGCTTTAAGTGACAGCGAAACAAACCCTAGCCTTTTACGTTTAGCCGTGCCACAACCGCTCTCTCAAACCACACATTCATCTGACAGGAGGTTTAGGCATGGTCTGCAAGATCAAATTTGCCATGTTACCTTTGTGACCAGGAGGAAGAAAATACGATGGATCACATTCTATTGCAACGTGTCTATGCTCGTCAAGTGTGGTTCTTGTGTTTCCAGACAGCGGGGATTGGGCTCAATATCTTGCCCACATGCCATGACAACCGGAAGCATGGTGGTCCGTTTCGCTTGAACAAATTACGAAGGAGAAGCGCAAGGGGTTCGATTCCTTCGCCATGCTAATCTGTTGGAGCATATGGAAGCAACGGAACGGCGGAGTCTTTGCGAGATCGGGGCAATGTGAATGAATGTGACCGATTGCCAAGTTATCTTTCAAGAGCTCAACCTGTGGGGGCCCGATAGCTAGCAGGGGAAATGATTGAGAACTAGGACGGGGTCGAAATGCATTTTATTCTTAGTATTAAAAAAGTATTGCATGACCGAATAATTCAAGGAGGGGCGCACAGCGGGGAGGGTCCTTTTTAGTAGATGACTCGTCGGGCCGGCAGCTAATAGATTCAGTAAAGGAAGGCCCGGAACGGGCTGAGCTACTGCCCGAAATAGAAGAGGACGACTAGAGCAGAGGAGCCTAATTCCAATCCAAACAATTGACGAGGGAGTCTGATTATTTTTCCGTTCTTGATTGGAGTTAGACCGGTTTGCCGAGTAGTAGCCCTGTCTGTTGTTTTGGAGCGGAGGGTGTGTGTGGCATCGACTTGTATGCACTAACCTCTTCCTTCTATGAAGTTAGGCTACACTCTTTGTTGTATTCTCGAAAAAAAAATCACCATTAGAAGCACCTCACATGCTCTTAACCCCCAAAGATATCTTCACAATGACAAGCAAGGGTGACATGTCACCTTACCTAACCTTGAGAAAAGAGAAACAAATGGGGTGACACATATCACCCAGAGGAGCAGGGGGAGGTGTGGTGGTGGCTGGATTTCATGATGCAGGATGGATGGCAGGGGAGGTAAAAAAGAAGAGAAAAAGGTGAAACATAGATACAAAAGTAAAAAAAATGGCAGTTTTGCCCCTGGGGGTGCAGGCAGTACAAGTAAAGACAGACAGGCAGGCAGGCGATGAGGGAGTCAGCCGGAGCCACCAAATAGATCCCTCCCCCCTCCCCCCTCCCCCTCTGCTCCGCTCTGCCTTGCTTCCCCTCC